GGCTTTCAGCCCCTGGAAGATTCATCTTGGGTTTTTAAGGGTTGTTGGTGTTACAGTCGGTGACTTCTGTCATTTTAAAAGCTGCCACGGCATCAGCTCCAGAGATTGGAGTATCAGTGACCTCAGAACTGCCATATTGTGAGGATGAGTGAGAGAAATCAGAGAATTAGGTTTCAGAGATGATACAGGGGCAATCTCTTCAGCAGAGCAGCTCTGCAAAAGCTGGTTTATGTGGTTTGGGCTCTGCTCAGTTCACCCCCTCAGTGTCAATGCTGTTTTATTGACAGTCATTAAATCCCCAGTGCTTAGGAGTGCCTTGTGGTCAGCAAGCATTTATTTTTCAGATGAACACTGCCCTTCATGACATTGGACCTCATCAAAGAGACAAAGGTGACCTTTTTATTTTCTCTTGCTTACATTTTGTTAGGTTTATGTACTGTCATGTGCACTTCCCCCTCTGGAGGGAGGAAAGACTGACTTGCTACGCAGCAGAAAATGGAGAGATTCCAGTAGCATCATTCCAACTTTGTTTCACATCTTAATCCAGCTGTTGCAGATGTTATTTGATGAGCATGCACCTCTGGTTTGGTTTTGGGCTTTTTTTTTACCATCCAGTTAAGACAGACTTAACCACAGGGAAATATCTATATAAACCTGGTCTAGAATATGGCAGTGAACACAATTCAGAAGGTTAAATATTTGATAAACACAGAGTCTGTGTAGACATGGGCATGGTAAACACATCAGAAGGAGTGTATTTTTTAATGGCTGTGTATTATATTTCTGTTGCTTACAACTGTCAGCACAAGGACAGAATGGGTTTGGATGTGACCAGGCAGCTGTCTCTGGGAGGCCTATAGATAGCAGCTTCCTTGGGTAGCACGTTTTCAGCTCCTCCAAACAGATTTATCAAGCATCTTTACTGTCTCAACACTGCCAGCTCAAATGACTTCTCAAGGAGCTTTGGTTATGCAAGCTTTTAAAAGGTGCATTGTTTTTGCTGTTTGTTTCTTTTTCTGTGTGTGTGTGTGTGCGCTGGGGGTTTTTTTTTAGTAACTCACTGCAGCAACTAAAATCTAGTGCAGGGTTTCACCATGTGTTAGGAAAAAAAACCCTCTACTCTATTTGTCCACCGTGACCAGGCTTTAAATAAGCATCAGAAGTTTCCCCAGCTGTGCAGAGCAGCAGAACAGCTCGGGTCAGAGCCACGCTCTGAGGAAGGAGAGGAGAACCTGCAGAGACAGGAGCTGGAAATAGCATCTGCTTGGCAGAATTAGAAGACACATCCATAATCATTCTGGGGTCTTGGACTGCTTCACAAAACATTCCTCTCTGAGTCCTGTGTGACCTAGAGGAGTTAGGAGACAAACAGAAGCCCCTCAGCTGGCTCCTTGTCCTTCTGGAAGGCCACGGAAACGGGAGGTGGGTGAAGGGAGGGTTGGACAAAGAGCCAAAGGACCTTCCCAGAGAATTCTCTGCTGCAGTTCCCAGCATGGGAACTTTCAATAATAAAGGCTGTAAAGGCTTCTTCAAAGAGCTTCCAGGCTGAATCCCAAGCTCCATCTGGAAGAAGTCTCAGGAGACTTGGGAGTGTTTTGTAAATACAGGCTGGGGACAAATGAGGTTTTACTTAAACTGAACCTGGCAAAACTTGCTTTCTAACAGGAACTTGTAACAGGCCACGTGAACAGGAGCATTTCCCAAACTGTATCCCTGGTGTAATGTCTTTTGGAAAGGGTGCAGTTAGCTTGTCATCCCTGCAAAGTCTTTTACTAGCACAGTAAATTATAGGCCTCTGGGGAATGTGCTGTACTTGGCTCTTTTCGGGTCATGTTCTTGGTCTGGGATTGCTGGGTGAAACCAAACACGCCGCTTTATCCTGTTTGCCCGTGGATTTGTTTTGTGCTTCAGCAGATTGAAGAGCATTTCTATTGAAACCATGCTTCGTTCTAACCGAAACAATTGCTGCTCTGTAGTGTCAGGGGATTCTTGAGGTAACAGGGACACTGTATGTGTTATGATTTACTGACCGTTTTGGCCTTTGAAAGCCCCGGCAGGTTTGGGTCCATTTTCCCGGCTTTGTTTGGGTTAGTGATGCCTCAGCAGTTACTCCACACCATGACAGTGTTTTCAGCACTGGTGGCCCTTGTTGGGTGTTTTGCTCAGGGGCAGTACCATGTCTGCAGCATCAACAGATCCAGAACATCAGCATCACTGAGTTTAAGGACTTCCTTTTGTGATTTTCCCCTTTTGAGATGCGTCAGCTTTTGTAAGAATGTGTTGGTGTGGTGCAGCTCTTGCTGCCCACGAGTTATCAGCTACCTCAGACTGAACCTGCCTCTCTAAAGCTGTTGTTTGCCTGTGTGTTCCGCTTAGCACTTCTGGCAGCGTCTCAGAACAGAGAACAGACAAAAAAAGTATGAAAGTTCCATAAATCTTCTATAGATTGAAAATATTTCCCACTCTTATCTTGATATTTTTCCCTTCAGTTGTGCTCTTATCAAGAAATTCCAGAGCACTTTATGAACGCTGAATTAAACCTTCTAAAGCCTTCCTCCCTCTCCTCCTCCCCCCCGAGGAAACGACATTATCATCCCTTGTTTGTAGATGAGGAATGAAGGTCTGAGTGGTGAAGTGACTCGTCCAAGGTCAGTGGCACAGCTATGAATAGACAAAGGCATTTTAGCTCTCAGCTCTCTGCTAAACAAGATCGTGCCCTCCCTCTTCCAATTTGTCAAACTTAATGACTAAGAGCACTTGAGCATCTAGAATGTGGCAGAAGAATTTATTTGCAGCAGGTAATCCCTGGTTGTGCCAGCAGCAGGAATCAAGGCTCCCCCAGTCCCCGTGGATCCTGTCTGCCCAGAGCAGGGGGCGTTGCTGTCTGTGTGGGATGCTGTAGGTAAAACAAAGATCCCAGACCTGAGTCTTCATTTGTCTTGGTGGAACAGTAATGAAGTGTCCTGAGAGCGCTTTGACTTCAACAGCCACGTTAAAAGAAGTGAAAACCCTCCAGTGCTGTCTGCTGCACCTTGGAGGGGAAAAGTAACTCAACTAAAGTCCTCCCGGGAGCCAAGGACGAGAAGGAAATTTTGAGTTGAGCTAATCAGGAAGAGGAAGTCATCTGTCTGCAGCTGGTCACTTCCCTGCTTACATGGCACAGCCCTGTAACAGCCACATAAGAAGCTTTGTGATCAACAAATGTCAAGGCCAATTAATTCCTGGGCCAGCAGCTGTTATTATTAGGACAAAGAGTGGCCAGACATAGAAGGAAAGCCTTCAGCTGATTTATTGTCTCCACCTTTCCCATCAAAATTGATCAGCTGCTCAAACCCCGGTGGTGGATTCCCATGCAATGAGAATTTTAAATTTGCCATCTCTCTTTCTTTTAGCAGGAGAGCTTAGATTAGATTGAGAGCACAGAGGAATAGCTCAGGAAAAAAACATTTAGAAAGTCTTCCCCTCTTTAATGCTATCAGGATGGAGCAGAGTTGTGTGTTCAGCTGGTAACATAATAATATGTGGGCTGAGTTAAACCCACCTCAGATTGTTTTTCCCCAATTTAATTGATGGAAACAGCCCACTTTTAGGCTTGATTTATTACCTTAGCAGAGTTATTCCAGGACTGCTGCAATGCAACTGTGGGTGTTCTAAACACACCTACGCTGCCAGAGAATCAGGAAGGATGTACTTAAAATCCTCTAATTTATCTAATAACATCTTTAGCAGCTTTTTGTGTAGGTTTAGCATTGTAATGGAAATGCAGTCCTTGGCTGGATAAAGAGCTGCTGTGTGGAGTTCTGGCACTGGCTGTGGGGACATGTAAATAGCACTTGGAGCTGGTTGGGGAAGTTCTCTGTCCAGCTCCATAGCCCTGTAAATGCACCTTTCAATTTTGTCATCTGTCACTGTGGTTAAAATAATGCTTAAAGTTCCAGATGTGAGTGTTCCTGACTCTGGACCTTCACAGATGTGGCTGTCCCACCTTCCAAGCCCGGGCAGAGCAGAGATTGCTCATGTCAGGGATATTTCCTCTCTGCTGTTTAGCTCCCAAGTCTCTATTTCAGCAACTGTTGTTGCCCCAGCTCCTACCCAGGTTCCCTCTTTGCCCACCAGGGAAGGATTGTTTGTAAGGGGCACAAAACAAGTTTGGTTCTCCTAAAAAGTTTCAGCACTGAGCTGGTCAGGGTAAGCTGTGGATGGGGAAAGCAGCTCAGGTTCCTGATGACGTAATTATTGCATCCCAGGCACTCTCTTCCCTTTTATTGTAACTTGGGAATCACATGTAACATGACCAGTAACCAGCATCACCACTCTGGGGTGTTTGGGCTAAGAACAGACAAAAAAACCTGCACTTTTTGAGCTGAATAAAGGCGGAAAAGACAAGACAGAGAATCAGCTCCCACAGGCGCCACAAGTAACGGAGGGCCCGCTGTGTTCTCCTCCTGTTGATCCCGGGCACTGCTGTAGGTAAATAGGATCAGACATGGAATCCTCTTGTTGATGGGCAGTTTCTGAGACTGAAATTGGCTCCCATGTCTCTGCATGGCCCTGTGACAGGAGATGTGTCTCGTGGAGGACAGGGATGGTATCTATGGAAACTGGAGCTTTCAGGCTGTGTCAGGAGAACACCTGGAGAAGTTCAGGCTGACCAGTGGGAAATACAAAGTCATATATAAATTAGGAGGTACTAAACTCCTCCTGAATGAGAGGATGTACATTAAAGTAGCCTTGGTTTGCTAAAGATTAATTAATCTTAGGAGATACCAGGTTTAATTAAGATACAGTGAGTTAAAGCCACTTCACTTCGGATGGAGACCGTTCACAAGGGAACATTTTAACCTTAGGCACATCAACACCACGCCTCCTATGGCTTAACCTTAACTTTCAGTGCCCCTTGGAGAGGCCTTGGACACTGAAATCTGAGGACTTCTCCTATCCTTTGGAATCCTGACTCCAGTTCTTGGGAGAAACTGGGCAGACTGGGCTAAAGATAAAAGCGTATACTGCAAGTTACCTCCCTGAATCAGATTAAAATACCTTCTTGTGTGTTTCTCTTCTTCTTTTGCAGTAACTGCCCCTCATTTTTGGCCGCTGCTTTAGCAAGAGCAACTTCAGATGAGGTCCTTCAGAGCGACCTCTCGGCGCATTTCCTACCAAAGCACGTGGACAACGCGGACGGGATCATTCGTAAGTGCTGCCATGGGGGGGGTCTGGCACTGGCACTGGACACTGCAAACACTCTGCAGATAATTTATGGGTTTTTAAGGTCAGCTCTGATTTCAGTGATCCATCTTGTCTGGCCACCCGAATTTCATTAATTCCTCAAATGAGTTCCTCCTACCAGCCAGCTAAAGGAAGCTGGACGGGATTTCTGGTGGAGGAATATCCCTTACTGACGGAAAAAGATTAATGGAGAATCCCCCACCACCCCTGATACAGGTAGTGACTAATTTCTTTCTCATTTTGAAATAACTCCTTCCTTTTAAGTGCACCTTCGTGGCTGTGTCTGATGGTCCTGAATTTCTTCATCAGCCCTTTAGTCCATGTGGTTCTCCTGGCAAGTACTAGTTGTCCTCCCTCATCCTTGGAGCAAAGTCAAATATATGTGGGAAGAGAGAATTTAAGTCTGAATTATTTCAGCTAGAATAGTTTTTACTATGGCTTGAAGTTTTTATATATAGTTTTAGTAAAAGATAGTACAAAGAGATTTCAGGATTAAAAGGAAAAAAAAACCCTCCTTTTCCTCATTTATCTTTGTTGGCTAAGGAGATTTTTGCAGCATCCAGCTCAAGGTCATGCACCTGAAATCATTACAGGACTCTGCTGGCCCAAATAACCTTGAAAAAAATGCTGGGTTGCTCATGACAACAAAGGACAGTGTTTCTCACATGTATTGACAGGAATTCTGTTATTGATCTTGAAAAAAACAGTCACCAAACCACTTTGTCCATTCCTTCCTTTTTTGATTAAAAAAGAAAAAAAAAAAGTGAATTATTTTGGGGGTAAGGAGGATCTATAAATCTGGCTCTTCAAAAAGGAAGATTCAGCTGCATTCCCCAGAGGCCTTTGGAAACCTGAGAAAGAGAAAAACATGCTCTGGGTTCCCTTTCTGTAGCTATTGCTGCCTCCTCCTGCTGAGCAGGTAAATGGAATAGATTTGTCATTGTTCTGACTGAGCAGCCTTCATTAATTTCAAATTGAGATCTCTGAGATGTGCATAAATATTTGACAGTCTCCAAGGAAATGTTGACTAAGCCTCCACATAGAATATCTAAAGAATTCAACCAAAAAAAAAAAAAAAAAAGAGAGAAAAGAAAAAAAAAACCACCACAAACCCCTCACACCTACAGAAATTGCCATTCAAATATATCTGAGTCTGGAAGACAGATGCAAACGTAGATTGAGATGGGAACAGACTGGAGCAGGCACTAAGAATAGCACTCCAGATGCAGTTTGTTGAGGTGAATTGTCATGATGAAGGTACTTGGAAACAAAATATCCCCTTACTGATGCAATGTGAAAAGTTAAATTGAGAAGATAAAGGGCAGAGGAAGGGAGAGAACAACTTCTGGCCCATAGTAAAGCAAAAGGTTTCCCACAAACACTGCAATTGCAAACCATATGCCATAAATGATCATTTTCCAAAACAGAACATGAGCTCAAGTGATCACAGAATTAGAGCCACAGAATGGTTTGGGGTTGGAAGGGACCTTAAAGGCCACCCAGTCCCAGCCCTGCCTTGGGCAGGGATGCCACTCACCAGCCCAGGTTGCTCCAACCTGGCCTTGGACACTTCCAGGGGTGGGGCAGCCACAGCACATCTCCGAGTTTTATGCTCAGACTTCACTGTACCCTGATGCTGTTTGTGAAACCAAGCTGAGTTCAGCTGGCTGGTTTTAATATCCACTTCTGTCAGGGTTTCTCATGAACCCAGGAAGATTTTTACTCTGTGTAATATAAGGAGACATTTACCTGATTTGCCTCAAGTTTGAATTTGCCAGAAGGAAAAAAAAAAAGAAGAAAAAAAAAGCAATTTCAAATTTCCTTAGTGGCACATTTCACTCTGAGAATTGCAACGTGACAAATCGTGGCACAGACACAGGGGTGGTAAAGGCAGTTACGGGTGTGCTGGTGGAAGGGAAATTAGAAGCTTCCTGAAAGCAGAGGGCAAATCTTAAATGAAGGAAAATTGTTTTGAGTCCACAAATGTAGGAATGCCAGAATATGGGCTTGTTGTATTTGGGGTGATTGTGTGTCCTTGGATATCAAGAACAGAATCTGAGTCACAGGCCAAGGCTGACTCTTCCAGTTGGAGTTCCAGGGACTGAGAGATGGGATTACCACAGCCAAGACACAAAGGGACCATTGACTACTCAGAACCTGGAGCTCCCAAATTAAGGAAAACCTTGGCCATTGGCTCAGTGACTTGTCCACAAACGTGGGTTCTGCCCCCTGTTGTCAAACTGCCTGTGTTTTCAAGAGAAGTCATAACATATGGTACTAAAACTCAGGATCTACCTCCTGGTGTTCTTTCTACCCCGATTTTGCCCCAAGAGTCGGTCTTTGGGAACAACAGTGCCTGAGCTGGATTGCCCACTGGCTGTGGTGCAGTGGAGCACTCCCTCCAACCCTGGGGACTGTGGAGCAGCAGGAGGGAAATGAAATTCTCCGTGACACAACCGCAGTGACAGCTGAGTCAGCTCTGGCTCAGGGCAGCAACATTAACAATTGATGAGTAATTTCCAGCTGTGAGGGGGTGGGTTAACCATTGTGGGCCTTTCTGCTGTTTTAGAATTACTGATGATGCCAACACTCCATGTATTCCCGCTGGGAAGGGTGTTGAGGATCTGATCATGGCCAGTGGGTTCACTGCTGTCCTCCCTCAGAGTGACACTGCGAGGTGGAACAGCCACGTGACACTCACGTGTTCACTGACATGGACCCCACTTCCCTTTGCCCAGAAATGGAAGAGCAAGTCTGGGGGCTTCCCTCTCTGGAAAATATCATTTGGACACATCAGGCTGTGCGTGCTCCCCCTTTAAACACATGACCCAGCAAAGGGGTTCCTGGTGGCACTGGGGAGAGCAGGACGGGTGCTGGGAGGAACTGGTGCCTGTTACTGGTGTGATCAAGGAGCTAAGACTCCTTTTGGTCATGTGTACAGTGTATTTCCAGCTCCTTGCAGATCAAACTTGGACCAGCTCAAAATCAACAGAGCTGGGAATGTATCTTGTTCCCAAAGATCTTGGCCCCCTGGTCACTCTGGCACATGTTTGGTGTAGGCCTAGGACAGAAATCAGTAAATGCTGCTTTTAGGCTCTTCATAGAATTCCTGTGAACCAGGAGGTGCTGTAACACTCCCCTCTCCTCCCTCTCTTTGAGCCCCTCCTCCTCCAGGAATGATTGGCACTCATGGATTGCTGCCTCCAGCTTTGAAGATCTCTGGCTTTGGTGAACGATCATGAACAAAGAGATTTTGATGTGTTCAGCTCTGATTACTTCCTGTTTTCCTGCCCTGAATTTCAGAACGAATGTCAAGTGCCTGAGTTTTCACATTCTAAAATGCCTATTTCTCAGGAGTGACAGTTCAGCATTTTCCCAAATTTGAGACCTTTGTGGTTTTCTCACCTGCTCATGCAGATTTCTTTGACACACCCTCGTCAGGAGTATGGAAATAATAAGAAATCTGGAAATAACTGAGGCAGCACCTGACTTGTGCTCTGCTGAAAGTGTGCACTGCCAGAACACCTTGAAGTAGTAGCACTGCTAATTTCTGTAGATTATTTCCACTGCACTGCCTCGGCTCTGCAGCGAAATGGTGTTTGGAATAGAGAATTGGGTCCCAAACCAATCTCTCATTGTTATGGATGGTGGGTTTTGTACGTGCCAGGACAAAGTCCTTGTCAGAGCTGCAGCACCCCGGGCACAGTGGCAGGGGGGGATTGGATGCTGAGGGAGAAGGACTTGCTTTTCGGTTTTTTTTCTCATGCTGCAAATGAGCTCCCCAAAGGCGCAGGGAAATGTTTAAGGTAAAAAGACAAACAAACAATGAGCTGCTTACTGATGAATGCTGATTATGGTGGGTTTGGCTTCCCCTTTTCATGCATCAGAGCCCAGAATTTCCCTGCTGACATCCATTTCAACTGCTTGGCTAAAAAGGGTTTTGTTTCATCTCCGCGATGTATGCAAGGGGAAAAAAAAAATTTCAATTAGCAACACTCTCAGCCTTTCATTTGTGGTTTGTGCCTTCCCCAGAGATCGAGACAGTGAAGTTGGCCCGCCTGGTTTTTAGCAAACTGCACGAGATCTGCAGCAACTGGGTGAAAGATTTCCCCTTGCAGCCCAAGCCCCACCGCTACTACGAGACGTCCATCCACGCCATCAAGAACATGCGCAGGAAGATGGAGGACAAGCACGTCTGCATCCCCGACTTCAACATGCTCTTCAACCTCGAGGTGAGCACAGGTCACCTGGGAGGCAGATCATGGGAGAGTGGTTTCCATTCCTGGGGAAACTGGGGCGTCTTCTGTGGAGGAGACGAAATGGGATGGGCCTGAGGAGGGACACGTAAAGAAGGAGATGTAAAACTGGACACTGAGGAATGGGAAATAAAAGAAAGTATCAAGGCTTTTTCTTCTAGGATCAGGTTGCTGCATAATTGCACCTTTATTACATCCTGTCACTTTAATAACCATCTTCTGCCCCATCCACATTCTTACCTTTAAATTGTATTAATGCAAACAGAGGCAGATGTTTCCCTTGCCTGTCAATTGTCAGCTTTCTTATTCCAATTTGTGTTGGAGCCCATTACCTAAAAATTACAATGTGCAAATATTCCAGGCATTGAGCTGGCTGTCAAGGTTGAATTGGCACTGTCAGTGGGTTGGTGCTGTGTGTGTGAATAGGCACAGGAGTTGCTGTCTCTTGGTACCGCTTTGTTTCTCCGAACAGATAAGAGGAAGCTGAGAAAACTGACTCGAAGATGAGTGATTTTGCTGTATTTGATTTGTGAATGTAATCACAATTATCTGATGAGAGAGCACATACAAGGGTGTTTTTTTTTTTTTTCAAAGACAGGCATCTAAAATGATATGTTTTAGATTTAAGAAATGAGGAGAATGAAAGCAGAGGCTTCACATTTTAACTGTACTGGCATTTTATCCCTGGTGGATTCCAGTCTCGATGCAGACTTCATGCAAACTGTAGTGGATGTTCTTCCCTCCCTGTGGTTTTCCCAGTCACAAAATCTCCTGCACAGTTTGATGAGAATGGCACTTCCTATTTGAGTTGTGTGACTGAGTCGTAACAAATGGGACATAAGGAGCACTGAGAGCCCTACAGAGGTGATTCTGGCAGGTAGTATTCAACAGTAAGGTGGAAGTTTCCCACTGATGCAAGTGAAGATGGTCAGAGTAGTTTGTTTTTCCAGTGGAGGCTCTGCCTCTAAGTCCAGTTTAACGAGGACACCACAAACCCCAAGTTCAAAGGTTCAGGACAGTCCAACGGGCTGCTTCCATTGCTTTCTCCTGAGGTGTTTCCTCCACGTGTTTCCCTCGGCAGGACCAGGAAGAACAGGCCTATTTCGCGGTGTTTGACGGCCATGGGGGAGTGGATGCTGCCATTTACGCCTCCATCCACCTGCACGTGAACATGGTGCACCAGGAGATGTTCCAGCATGACCCAGCCGAGGCTCTGTGCCGAGCCTTCCGCGTCACCGACGAGCGCTTCGTCCAAAAGGCAGCCAGGGAGGTGAGGCCTGACCCTGAAAAAGCATCAGTCTATAAATCCTGCCTTTGTCAGCTCCAAGCACAGGCCAAGGTCAGGCTGGATCTGCCCACGCACAGCCCATGGGGCTGGTGCCCACCAGTGGGCTCCTTTGTGTCCCAAAAAAATGTCAGCTTCCACTTCTCACAGCAGCCCCTTCCTTTAGAAGGATGCTGCTGCCATTCTTTAGTCCTTGGAATGTTTTTTTTTCCTTTAGTCCTTGGGGTGGGGTTTTTTTCCTCATCTCTAAAAGATACATTTTTTTTTTTGTCTCCAGAAAGCAAGAATTAATGGATAAGTGAGTCATAGGCCTCCCAAACTCACGCAAGGGATGAGTTAAGTGCAGAGAACTCGGGCTGCTCATAAATAAACCTCCCTCCAAGTTCAGTGACATGCCTGTGTGTCTGTCAATGGCAGGAAGTCAGGCAGGGCAGTCACACAGCAGACAGCAGCAGAGCCTGGCTGCTGACAGGCAGTTCCCATTCCAGGGATGGGATGTCACGGGGCAAATTCAGCCGCTCACATTCAGCCAGGTCGGCTCCGGGGGGCTGTTCCTGAGCATTCGTAGCCGTAGGGAAAGCACTGCCTGTTCCTCCCTGGGAATAGGCTCTGTGCTGCACTGTCAACATGTTCTGTCCTCGAGTTAAGCAAGAAAATGCTTTGAAATGGAAATGCTTTTATTTTTTTTTCCACCCTGCCCAGAGCCTGCGCTGCGGAACCACCGGGGTGGTGACTTTCATCCGCGGCAATATGCTGCACGTGGCCTGGCTCGGGGACTCCCAGGTTATGCTCGTGAGGAGAGGCCAAGCTGTGGAGCTGATGAAACCCCACAAACCAGACAGAGAGGTGAGAACAGCCTGTTCTAAACACACCTGGGCTGGTTCCCCACAGGTACCAGCTCGGTGCGAGTGCTGCCGTGCCAGTCCCTGGGAGTATGTTCCAGTTATCCCGGTTTGTTTGGATGTCACTGTGCATTTGTGTACAAACCCTTGGTGTCACCTCTGGGGGGACTGCAGCCTCCACCACGTGTATGTGAAAGAACAAATATTTATGGGATTGTTCCGTGTGTGATGCAGCTCTGTCCAAACAACTCCTGTGTTGCTGTTTAGGATGAGAAGAAGCGCATTGAGGCCCTGGGAGGCTGCGTGGTCTGGTTTGGAGCCTGGAGGGTGAATGGCAGCCTGTCTGTCTCCAGAGCTATTGGTAAGAGAGGGCTTTCACTCCTTTGGGAGACTTGATTTCTTTTTTATAGAATTTTAATTTTTCAGCGATTTGCTTTTTAACCACAAAATTTTAATTTTCTAGTGATCGCAATTTGAAGTACAGCTGCAGACCGGTCTGCGAGCAATAACCTCTATTTTTTCCCCCCTACAGTTTGAGGGAATAATTCCCAAATAATTGCTTTAACTTGGGCTAGGAGTCATTGGCTCCTTGCTGAGCTAATAAAGGGCTTCTGGATGCTGTGGCTGCAAACCCACGGTGGTGTCTGTGTGCTGTTTCTCCTCAGGGGACGCCGAGCACAAGCCATATATCTGTGGGGACGCAGACTCTGCCTCCACGGTGCTGGATGGCTCTGAAGACTACCTCATTCTGGCCTGCGATGGCTTCTACGACACCGTGAACCCCGACGAGGCAGTCAAGGTGGTGGCTGACCACCTCAAGGAGAACAACGGTGACAGCAGCATGGTAGCACACAAATTGGTGGCGTCCGCCCGCGACGCCGGCTCCAGCGACAACATCACCGTCATCGTGGTCTTTCTCAGGGACATGAACGCGGCCGTCGCCGCCAGCGAGGAGTCGGACTGGACAGAGAACTCTTTCCAAGGGGGGCAGGAAGACAACGGGGAAGACAAGGAGAACCACGGAGACTGCAAACGGCCGTGGCCCCAGCACCAGTGCTCAGCACCGGCAGATTTAGGGTACGAAGGACGAGTGGATTCCTTCACCGACAGAACTAGCTTAAGCATAGGGTCCAGCGTCAACCTGCTTGATGATCAAGGCTATTTAGACCTGACAAAAACAGAAACTAGTACACCTCAGAGTGCCAAATGTCTGCCACCAGTCCAAGTGTTTAGTCCTGGAATACCAAAGAGTGCAGATTCGATCAGCAGCTTCCTGGCAAAGGGCGAATCCCCAGAGCGCGCCACGGCCTCGGTCTGCGGGCAGAGCCACCCGGGGGAGCACGATGCTCCCCTGAGCTCGGGTGCTGCAGGGCAGGGCATCTACAGGGTGAGGGGGTTATCCCCCATCTTCTCTGGGCTGGAAGATGAACTGTTCAAATCCTTGGGAAAACGAGCCGCGTTCCTGCAGGTCCGGCTGTGCAGCGGGAAGAGGCGACGAGCAGCCAGGCTCACACCAAAGTTTCACACGCCGCTCTGGGCTCACGAGCCCTCCCACCTCGAAGGATCCACCCTGCCCTTCCCTGTCCGGGGCCGCAGGAGCAGGAGGGCGTGGGCCCGACCCTCCCCCTGGCAGAGGCTGCTCGGCCGTAACACTTACAGCGAGAGCATGTTTTTGATGCGAAGACAAAGTAATTGTATACCAGACCCATCCCTCCATCAATGCTGTAAAATGTAACCACCCCCTCGTGTTCCCCCCTGTCAGACTCCCAAAGTAGACATTCCCAAAAATAAAAACTGGCATCATCAGAGAGCGGAAAGAGGTGGGCATTTCCGAACTGTACTCCAGTTCCCCTGCAAAGCTCCAAACCCTGTGTAAATAGACCTAGGAATTAACAAATGTTAGTTGTCTCAAATCTCAATAAGGTTTGCCGGTGGTGCCACCCTGAGCAATTCCGCAGCCGCCCGACCACCCGCACACACGAGTGTCCAGCCACATCCGCCAGGGAAAGCCAAACAGCCGCTTCACGAGGACAGACTCCGCCAGGGCACAGGCCTTAGACACGCAGGAGGCTGCACCTGCCTGAGGAATGTCTGGGCAGCAATACTGACAGGACGGTCTGCTTCAGAACTGCCAAATTTTTCTAGAGCGGGGGGAAGTTTCAGTAGAGTCGAGGTGGGGGGGGGGGGGGGGGGGGGGGGGGGGGGGGGGGGGGGGGGGGGGGGGGGGGGGGAGGGAGGGGTGTTTCTTGTGTTCTGCTTTCTGTTTGTTCCAGGTGAGCGTTAAGGTGAATTAGGAATCACATCCACTTTTGCAGGTAGACGACTAAAAGCCATACAGGGTTTACCAGGTACCTTAGGAATGGACACACTAAGCTCCTGCTGCTCTGGTCTCAGACTCCTGTCGAGGTACAGACTCATAATTTACCTTTTTTTTTTTTTTTTTCTTTTTTTTTATTCCTCCATGTAACATAAAATGCGGAATATGAAGAAAACTTTTCTTGTAGTTTAACAAAATCCTGTTTTCCTGTGGCTGGAGGTGCAGTGTAGGGAATTTCGTATCTTTCTGGTGCTTTTAGTGGCATTTTTTCTCATTTCTCAGTTTAGGAAACTGTTCTCAATCAGCTGAACATGATTGCGCTTAATGCTTTGAGCCAACCTCTTCCCACCCTAACTTCATCTCAGGTCTTAAAAGAAACCAATCCGTGGAGAAGTTCAGGACAACCCCCTGTCCCTCCGCACCGCAGATCAGGAGCAACTGGATGAGCTGTTTGGTTTCATTAATGATTCCTGGATGGCAGAGGCATCCTTTAATACCAAATTTCAGCAGGAAGGATGGTGGGCTGCAGCACCAGGGCTGCCGTGGGGCGTTGTCAGGGCGTGCAGGAACGGATGCCGGGGCCGCCAGAGCGATCCGGAGCGGGTGGAAATGCCGAGGATGCGGATGAGCAGGGGCTGTCCTTGGGTGGAATTCACTGCTCTGGGTCACCCTTGGGTCCAGGGGGGCCAGTGAGGAGTGTCAGCTGCCCTGGTTTGGCAGGGGCCACCAGCCCCTCCCCGCTCCCCGGGGGACTTTCCACCCTTGGGGAGCCGTTAATTGGGACGTAAATAAAGCAGCCAATTCCCATCAGCTCCACTAAGCCCCGATCCTGTTACTGTCCTTTGTTACAGTAAGACATTTGGAGGAGTATGAATAAAGTCAGTCTTCATAGGCACTTAGGGTACCATTCATATCACCTTAGCAGTAACAATAGCAGTATTAGTGTTTAGCTAGAATTTGCAAAGTATTTTAATATTAAGTAGTCAGGAGATTATTCAACACGACGAGATGGCAAGGCTTGAATTCTGCCAATTTCCGCTGCTTCTATCTTTGATGCACTATTTTAAAAGCAATCTGATGAACAGCAAAAGGCTTTGTGAGTAACCAGGAGTTGGAGTGTGGCTTTAGATTCCTTTGATCTTTTTCAGACTTTGTTTTAATCTTACGGGATCATTGGCTCTTATCTGTCATCTTATTCCGCCTTAGCTGTTGTCGATGTTCTCTTCAGCTGCAGCTCATGTTCCAAGTCAGATTTACCGAGGAAATTCGAGAAACCATGAAATGGTAAAATATGCAACTCTGGGGCATCTCTGTGGTGCCTTTGTTTTAAATTATTCAGAGTAATAATGGCTCGTTGGAAGTCCATCCTTTAGCTGACTGTCGTGTTCCGGAGAGAAAGGTGGTGTAAGTGCAATTCTTTGTGTGAGTAAATTAGAGTGAAAACTTCTTCCCAGTCTGCAGGAGCAGTTGAAGAGCACTGGACTGCATGTGTGCTGTTTTGGGAAGGATTTAGCTTTTTAGGTGTGGATTCATAAACGATAATTCTGCGACTCATCCCATTTATCTTGCTAGGAGAAAAAAAAAAAATCCACCATCGTAGTTCCAGTGTGGTCAGGTACAACCATTGTATAGATAGAGCAAGTGTTCATTTCTTCACTAACTACATATTTATAGAGTAGATAGGAACCATTTGTAAGGTAAGTCCTTTAAAGTTCTATAATATTAAAAGTAGTGGTTATTGGTCTGATTATGCTGCTCTTGATTCTACAACTAGACAAAAAAAGCAGTGCTTGTGAAATGCAGTGTTTTCTCTTAATGCCACTGGTGATAGGAAGTAGTTCTCTTCAGTTCAAACTCCTGTGCCCTTATTTGCTGCTTGCTGACGTAAGCAATAATCCCTCTCTAACGGTATCTAAGTGTTCTGTATCTCGTACTTTGATTGTCTATCTGGTGACAGTGTAAAACCTTAGGCTAATAGAGAAGTATCTCATTGTATTTATTAACTGTTGATACTGAGATTCAGTCTGTGACCTGTGTTTTGTATTTTTATCGTGTATCTTTAGTGGTGGTGAAATTTGTATCGCGAATCTTTCCAATAAAGAGCTGAAGTATCCCTTTCCCGCGTTAACACAACCCCATCCGTTCCGGTTGGCGTGGGCACCGTGGTTGGCAGAACCAGGAGGGAGCAGCGAAAACATGACTTGATTTTTTATTTTATTTTATTTTATTTTTTTCGTTTGTGTTTCAGTTTGTGTCGGTTTTGAGGAAGGGGCTCCAGGCTGGCTCTGCCTGAGGCCGCTCCGACCTCGCTCGTGAGCTCTTCACTGTGAGGACCGGCGGGATTCTCGCGATCCCGCCGGTTTCCCGTGTACTTTTCCATGTGCAACTCTGAGGAATGTGTGCGGTGCAGAGAGCAGAATAGCACCAGAGCAGGGAGCTGTTAACCCATTCGATTTGCACTAAAGGTGGGTGGAAACACATGTGTATATATAACTTTTCTTTACCTAGAAGTGCCATCCATTGTCCTCGCGAGTTCAAACCATCCCGTACCTGAGTTGGGTCGCGTCGTGACGCCGAAGGACAATGTCAAAGCAGACTTTACCTTACGCCACGTTTCTGGTGGTGCAGCATCGTAGAAACTCCGCCTGTTTTTGGAACACTGTGTGTCGGGGAGACCGTTGTCCCACGGGCAGATGAGGCACAAGGAATTTGTGTATAGATATGGCTGCTGTAGTTCAGGTCCACTCTCTCCTCCCTGAATCCTCCCGACCCCGGCAATGCTCTGCGGGAAAGCAGAACGAGAAAGATTGGTCTAAATTAGGGGCTGTTTTAGCACAGTTTACTCCACCAGTCACACAAACAAAGCCATCCAAGGGGATACTGCAGCTTTGTTCATGGCTGTAATTTAGGGCAATCTTTCTTTAACTCACACCCTCTCTGCAAACAGGAACAAAAACTCTCTACCCTTGTATCATGTGCAATAAATAACGAAGCATTAACGCGACCTCTGGCTCCGCTGTCCGTGTCCTCCTCCGGCCCTCGCGACTCGGCGACGGCACCTGCCAGCATTAGAGCTAAAGAGAAACAACCCCACCTGTCAGGGCCTCCTCCAACCCCTGGGCAGGGCCTCCTACACCTCCCGTACGTCGCACTCTCCTCCCGCCCGCTTTTTCCTCTCCTTCCCTCTAGAAGACACCTCTGGACAAGAACAGGGGACGTGGCTGAGCTCAGCCCCAGTGCTGCTGCTCGCGGCCGGCCGGGCGTGGTGTCAGCTCCTGGGTGCTCCTGTTGACCTTTCTGTAGTCCCTTGTTGACGAAACATGTTCTTTCTGAAGTGAATAAATTAAAGCTGATCACGTACCGGTGTTGGGACTTTTCCATTTGCAACCTTGTTCTGCAGTTCACCCGCGAGTTTAGTTCTAACCATGTATTAGTCATCCATATTTTATTTATGAAAGCTGTTTATACAGGAAAAAACTGTTTTACCAATATCTTAATAAAACAGTAATTTAAACCACACTTCAGGCAGTCTGGTTATTTAACAAAGACAGCAGCCACCCCGTGTTTACTGTGGTGGAAGGGGGTTTCCTTTGTGTGATACGTAACAGGAGCTGTTGAGCTCTGGCTCCAGGGGGTTGCCCAGGGCCCATCACAGCCCAAAAGGCTGTCATGGCACAGTCCAAGTAGATAAATAAGTCCCCCCAGCCCCTTTCCCCACCTCTTCTTCACAAACCAGCTCCACCAGTAAGTTCTCCATAAGGTGGGTAAAGCACCAGCTCCTCTCTGGCCCCTCACAGGCAGCTGAAGTGAGGGCAGTAAAGCACAGATAGCCCTGCACCCCCTGAGCCCCACAACCACCACCAGAGAGGGGCCTGGAACGGGCTGTGCTCCCTCTGCAGCTGAGGAACACAACCCAAGCTGGGTAAAAACCTGATGCCTATTTCAATCGAGATTTTAAATTTCACAAACGCAGTTTTAAAAATCCCAGAGGGGTTTAAGTGCTTTTCATTGAATAATTAAGCAAAAAAGTGACGGGTGGATGACAGGGAGAAGCCCTCCCATGAGCCCCGTGCTCAGACCCCAACAGCCCCCACCACCTCACACACCCACACTCAAACACCCAGGACTCCACCTCAGGTTTCAACATTCAATTTTATTAACAAAGTGCAAACAGATTTAAACTAAATTGTACAGCATGGCACATTCACATGGACACAGGGCAGGGGCAGCAGGACAGGGACAACACCAGCTACTCACAGGGCCTCATGCTTTGTCACTAACCAGGGATCAGCTCCCAGAGGGGCTTCACAAGTAGTTGAGCAGCTCAAAATGCAACGAACAGTGGCAAAGAGTTTGGCAATGGATGCGGTTGGTCCACGTCACCGACCGGGGAAAACACCTCGAGTGGCGCCCGCTCCACCCCAGCTCTGGAGCCACCGCCGGGCCCGGGGTTAAAATGAGGACAGTGCCACGCTCGTGGTCATTCCAGCAGGACACACCTCCCAGGACAGGGCTCAGCACCTTCCCAACGGTTGCTCAGAGCAGGTGAGGCTGGCAGAGCCAGCAGGAACGCAGCCTGTAGGGCGAGGCCTAACAAGGTGGCTGCGCCCCAGGGACAGGTTTAAGACAATGGCAGAAGAATCACAGAATGGAGAGCACACACAGCCATCGACAGCAGCCTCGGGCTCAGCTCCAGGGAATGCACACCCCTCTCCCCAGGGATGCAGCGCTGGGTCTTCAGGCCCCAAGCCCACACTCTACCTGCTCCAGACAAAGAGATTCCACTGAAAACCCTCCTGCCGGGGCAGCTTTAAGGCTTCAAACAAACACAGTCTAAGGAATCAAAACTTTATGTCAGCTGCTTCAACCCAGTCAGTTTTGTGCTGATTACAGAAGCATTCAGATCTCAGCCTGCCCTCCCTCATTCCCAGACTCCTCATTCCCAGGTGGAGCTCAGGAGGGCAGGGCAGTCATGGCCTCCCCCTGGGGCTGCCAAACACAGGGATCAGGCTGTACCAACACCCACAGCAGGACTGTTGGATCTGTGGCTGCAGCTCCTGGAGCAGCACAGGGAAGGTGCAGCCCCAGGACAGGAGAACCATCCCAGTTACCTGGTGGTGTCGTCTCCAGGGACAAAGTTGAGATCATCAGAACTCACTTGGTCACCATCTGGTAACACCGAGGAGTGTTCTGGGGGTGAAACACCAGCAAAGTTCAGTCACCTTCACCAGAGGGGCACCAGAACAGCCGGTGGATCCTCCCTCCCCTCCTCTGACTCAGCCCACACTTCACCCCGGGGCAGCTGCGGCCTCCCAGCTTTGATCCATTCCATGGGAAGTTAAAGCTTTTACACCAAAAGTGAGTTTCTGAAACTCCACTGAACTGCTCCAAGCTCATTCCTGCCAATTAAGATGCAAATCCCTGTCGAAGGCAGTGGTTATCTCCCTGGAATTAGCCTACTTACAGTGCCAGTGATGGCACACAGGGAGTTCCAATTCGGAACTGGCGCTGTGGGTTTTCCAACCCCCCCCGGGAGACTCACCTGAACTGACTTCTCAAGGCTAGGAAGAGTTTCCCTTTCCTGTTTTGATCCGCTTTAATTGGGATCCCAAGAGAGGAGTTCCAAATCTTACTGGCGCTTGCTTGAGCTTTAACAGCTCCACAGCTCCCCCCTGGATCTGTATCCCAGAGCCGTGTGGGAAAGCTTGGGAAGGGGGAATATCCACCCTACCTTCGGTGGAGGGCTGGGCAGAGAAGGCCTGGTTGAACACCTCTGAGGGCGAGGTGGCCTCCTCCTGCTCCTCGTTCTCCGTGTCACATTCGATGTCGCTGTCGCTGCTCATTCCCGGCAGGAGGTGGAGGACGTGCTTCTGGCACACCCCGGCTGCAAGAGACACCACAGAGCATGGTGAGATCCACGCAGCTGAGTTATCAGACTCTTTCAGGTGGAACAGCTCCCAGTCTCACATCCCAAGGGCTGGCAGGTGGACACTGAGAGCTCCATGTCCTCCCCAGAGCACAGAGAGATCCCACAGAGCAGCGGAACCAGCACGGACCACGGCTGGATTCTGTGGGGCAGCTCCACTCCAGAGCAGTTCCCACGTGCCACCAGTTGAGCCCAAGCCCAGGAGTCCACAGCTCCTTCCCCCCCCTCCAGCTGCAATTCGAAAAATTAAAAGTTGCTTTTGGAACAGCCAAGAGGGAACAGGACCCGTGGGGCAGATGGACCTGCCAGAGCCTTTGAGCAACTCTGACTGGAGTCCCACACAACAAACGTCCCCTCAAAGCAGGACCACAGCTCTTGGTGCCATCAAGGTGGTGGCAGGGGCCGTGCCAGACCCTGGGTGTGCAGTTGGGGGGTGACACTTTTTGCTTCTCAAGAGCCAACCCTCGTTGCTAAGAAAAAGCCAAGTGAGGGACCAACTCTCCCGCAGCTTTTCCTCTGAAAGGAGAACAGAATTGTAATATTTGCTTCCTGGGGTTTTTAACAATGAAGCATTTGAGGGTTTGAAGCGCTTTCCTATTGGGCTCCCAGCCCCGGGAGCAGAGCTGCATCACGATCACGCTGCAGTGACTAAGAGTAGAAATTCACTTTTGTCACTGAGAGACCTTCTGCAAATGCCAACTCCCACACGAGCCCGCACACACTGCAGCTCGAGAAGGATGCTGGCACCTTAATATAGGCTTTGAGCTACAATCCAGTCATTGAAATTCAAATCAGTGCAGGGGTGGAAGGCAGGAGAGTTTTAGCGAGATAAGAAAAAACTCTTCTACGTGGACTTTCAGAAAAAAAAAAAAAGGCAATATTGTTTTTTTCCAGCGTGGAAAGGATGCAGGAAGGGAGGGGGAAAAGTTTCCTCCAAGTCTCTAAGGAAACTGGCTTATGTACCACAACAGCCAGCAGGAATGAAGTGCTGAGAGGTTGGAGTGAGGACGTGGAGGAAGTGACTGGGGGGGTTTGTCCCTGAAGGCAGGAGACTTCAAAGCCAAGGTCACTGACCACTGTTTTAATTAGATAAGAAATCCTCTCCAAGGCCACTGGACCAGACACCAAAGCAAAGACCTGGAGACAAAGGAAGAGGCACAGAAAGCAGCTGGTTGTCCAGGCAGGGAGGTGGTGGCACCACATCTGCTCCGTGACAGCCCCGTTCCTCCACACACGGCAAGGACACATCTCCCCTCCTCTCCTCGCTCACGTTTATTCCACAGCTGCCAAAGGGTCCAGCAAAGTTCAACAGCCATGAGAGCAGCTTTTGGGGCTCGTTGGCTTTGGGGGGTTCTGCTCTTTGTCCTTCCCCCTGAAGCTGCCAGGGCAGAGGTGGCTCAGCAGAGCCCCGAGCGCGGCCACGCTGCACCCGCCCCCCCTGGCCCCGTTACCTTCGTCTGGCCCCGCAGAGGGGCCTTCTGACACCATTCCCTGCAGCTCCCCGGGCTCAGAGCTGCTCTCCACACCTCCTGCTGCTGCTCCTTCTGCCCGACAGCCCTTGGAGTTTGAGCTTGAGAAAGAATTCGGGAGCAAAGAGAAACCCCCAGATTAGAAATTCAGCTTGAATTCAATCCCAGAAACAAATCCTTTTAGTGCCACATCTACTTTTACTAATCTCCTGCATACCCCACTTAAACTCCCAGCTTGGATTGGTTTAGAAACGTTTAAAATATTTAAAAAATTACTCCTCAAAACTTTTCCAGTTTTTTTTTCCCAAAAAAGGTGACTTTAGCTGCTTACAAAGAAATAACCTGAGTATTCCATTGCCCTTTGTTTAGTTGCCCAACAGGGAATTATCATGAAATAGCCAAAAAATAGAGTCACAGTGAAAAACATCATCTTAAAACAAGGAAATCAAAAGTGACTAAACCTCAGTCAGAGGATATTTTGCATGGAACAGTGGGAAAACAGACTGGGATGCCTTTCAAATCCAAGTGTCAGGTACCAGCCACAGCTGATCAAAATAAAAGAAAAAAAATTAAAAGGAAAGAAGAAAAAAAAGACAACTTGTAACCTAGTTATAAACCCAAAAATTGATGTCCAGAGGGAACAGCAGCAAGCAAGTAAACTTCAAAGTAATTTCCCTTTCATGCTACAAGTACGTTTTAGTAGATTGTGGAGTTTTCTGTAGATCAAGGGAAGGTGGGGGAGGAGACAACAAGAGGAAAGAAGAATAAAACCTTTACCCCAGAGCACCAACTTTTCTGCTCTTCTCCACAGTAGCCAAGCCAGCCAAGGCAGGAGCTCCCCCGTCGGAATCCGAGCCCTCACATGGCCTGTCCTCCTTGGGCAGCGCCTCGGCCAGGGCCCGGTGCCGACTGCCCAGCTTGGAGCTCCCCAGGCCACCTGGGCAGAGAAACACAGCTGGGACTCTGCATTCCCCCTCTGGACACCTGAGAGGGGTAAAACACCCGTTCCTGTGTCAAGTGTTCCCTCGTTTCCACTCGAAGGGAAACCCCGGCTTTGGCAAACTCGGGAGCGGCACCATCGGCCAAGTCCCACAGCTCCCCATCCAGGGGACTTCCCGAGTGCC